GGAAGCTTCTGGGAAGGCCTGGCTCGCCACCAATAAGACATTCACATGAAAAGATCAAAAGATGAAGCTGTGGAGAGGAGAAAAGATCAGGATGGGCATGGCTAACCACCAGTGAGTCCCCACGGAGAAGATCGCTTACAAGAATGAAGGGATAGAAGCGTGGGAACTACGATGACGTCGAGGGGTACTGATTAAGAGTGAGGCCTTACCCAGGATAGTTATGGAGAAGATGAACTGAGTCGGAATGCATAATGGATAGAAGCGACGCTCGATTTTCCTGGAATGCGAAGGATAGACAATTTTACTACGCGGAATAGGCACGAGGGCACGAAGTGTAGCCGAGAGCCACGGACTGGTGGTTTGTGCTACTGCGATGAATGTCGAGGTTAGCGGATGGCGGTGTTGCTCCCGAGGATAGCCGGAGTGATCGCCGTAATCGCGGGTGGTGGTGGGCGCCCTAAAGGGGCTGGCGATCAGGTCGACTATGCCTCCTGCGTTCTTGTTTTTGCCTGAAGCTAACCGGGATAGAAGTCGCGAATTCATCGATTTTCTGACCGCTGAGTGCGTCCCGAAAACGGGGGGTGTTTAGCACAAAGAGGTCAAGTCAATTTCATGGGGTGCGAACTTAGCTTGTACAATGATTTCGGGTTTGGGCCTGGGATAGATGCCGACCTCCTCGTGGACGAGCCTGGATAGCATATGGACTTCGTGTCCGTTCGCAGCCGCGAGCTGCTCAAGAAGGGCCCTTCTTAGTATCGTAGCAGCCAGATTTGTACAGTTTTCGCCCCCGTGGATAGTGTCCCTGTACGTTGTGGATCTGATTAGCCAACTCGCAGCCGGAGGCCAGAGGAGCTAAAAGGATCGAGCGTTGACGAGGGATAGATCCTTCCCTAACCTTTGGGATAGTTGTCTGTCCTCTTTACAACTCATAGCCGGAGGCCGGAGGATACTGAGGGCAGGTGGCTGTTCAGGTGAATATCGGGATAGGTGTACAACACGCAGCCGGACGGCTAGTGGATACATCTAGAGCGATAGGTTACCACCCCCTGGAGATAGCAACTCTGGGGATCCTTCCGATAGTTAACGTCGGGAGTGGCTCGGAACGATTGGCTAGCTACCTTGAGTTCCCCGTTGACAGGGATACTGTTACTTCTGGTGCAACATTACAACCTACAACTGTAAATATACAACTTCTTTCTCCTCGTGTGGCCTGAGCTAGTTACTGGAACGGGTTGCGCAAGTTTTCATTGGTTTGGACACTTCGCACATATGTGGCCTAGGCTTGCATGAGGGTTTAAGCTGGGCCTGACACGTAAACCCTGGAACTTGACTTCGCCTGGCTCAACCCTAAGCTGCCCCCCACACGCAGCCCCAAATCCCTAACAAGCCCGACAGGCCCTCATACAGCCCAAACCCTAAACCCCAAACCCCAAACCCTAAACCCTAAGCCCCAAACCCTAAACCCTAAACCCTAAACCCCAAACCCTAAACCCTAAACCCCTAAAGCCCTCAACTGCCCTAGATGCGTGGACTGATGCCTTGAAACCTAAGCGGTCCACTTCTTGGTAGCCCAGTGGTACACTTTTTGCCTTGTTCCTCTTCTCTAGGTTTCGGGTTCAGGGTTCAGGGTTCGGGGTTGAGGGTTTAGGGTAAGGGTAGTTACATGATCTCCCTTCCAAAAGCAACTCAGCCCCCCAAAAGGGTAGCCGTAACATAGCATGGATACTGGGCTACCAGTCGAAGGGTAGTTGTATGGCCCCTTACCCTAAACCCTAAACCCTAAACCCTAAACCCTAAACCCTAAACCCTAAACCCTAAACCCTAAACCATGGTCCCTTGCCTTCCTTAACGGGGTTCTGAAGTCTGGGCCCTTGGGTTGCATAGGGTTTATAAGGGTTGTATGAAGGGTCCCCTTTTTGAGGACTACTTTAACCCTAAACCCTAAACCCTGAACCCTAAACCCTGAGCACTAGGCCCTAAACCCTAAACGCTAAACCCTAAACCCTAAACAACCCTAAACAACCCTAATAAACCCTAAGAAACCCTAAGAAACCCTAAACCCTAAACCCTAAACCCTAAACCCTAAACCCTAAACCCTAAACCCTAAACCCTAAACCCTAAACCCTAAACCCTAAACCCTAAACCCTAAACCCTAAAACCCTAAAACCCCCTAAACCCTTAAACCCGAAACCCTAAACCCTAAACCCTAAACCCTAAACCCTAAACCCTAAACCCTAAACCCTAAACCCTAAACCCTAAACCCTAAACCCTGAACCCTGAACCCTGAACCCAAATCCGCCCGAAGGTCATGGCTGACCAGCCTTCATGGAATGCCGCGCTCTGCCGGTGCGGCCTGGACTCGCAGCTCGGACTTTCAGGGTGTTTGACGGCCTGTGCACCCCCTTTTGCCCGGTTTAGGATTTAGGGTTTGGGGTTTGGGGTTTAGGGTTTAGGGTTTGGGGTTTGGGGTGTAGGGTTTAGGGTTTAGGGGCTTATATACCCTACTATTCTGGTTAAAGGGTAGTTTGGGGCGGTGTTTGATGGGTTGTTGGGCTTTCAAGGGGCTTGGTCTTGTTGTTTTGTTCGGGGTGTTTCGGGGTGTTCAGGGTTTTTAAAGGGTTTTTTTGAAGGGCTTTTTGAAAGGGTTTGCCTTAAGAGTCTTCAGGGGTTGAGATTTTCGAGGGATTCGGGATTTTCGTTTTTCCCCACCCTCGGTGTGGGGTTGTTAGATTTTAAACTCAACTCTTCTTATCGCCCGGTCTGCTTCTCCTCGCCCGGTCTACTCCTCGCCCAAGCCCAGGGTGCCCAACCCCAAAGTGTCCGTGGAGTGCTAGAGTGCCCAACCCCAAAGTGTCCCTGGAGTGCCCAAGCCCAGAGTGTCCCTGGAGCGCCCCAACCACAGAGTATCTCTACCCAGAGAGGGTGGGGATGTTCGAACTTTTGGTTTCGGGGTCTATGGCGCAGGGTTTTGTGGGTTCAAGGGACTTTCCGGGCGGTGTGGTGTTGTGTTTCTGGTAGAACTGGAGCCATCCGCGAATAAACAATACCCTATGGGCCCTCATCTTTGCGGGTACCCTGAAAAGGGACCATGATCCAGAACTACACTCAACCTAAACCCTAAACCCTAAACCCGAAACCCCAAACCGTAAACCCTAAACCCTAAACCCCGAACCCTAAACCCTAAACCCTGAGCCCCACACCCTAATATAGGGACCCTCTACTTCCCCAAGTGACGAGCCAGCAAGTTATCGAAACGCGCGGAGGTTGGCCGAGTTCCCTCGCAGCCCCGAAGCTGACACGATCCTCAAGGATCACGCCCAAGAGGGTTTAGGGTTTAGGGTTTAGGGTTTAGGGTTTCGGGTTTCGTGTTTGGGGTTTGGGGTTTGGGGTTTGGGGTTTAGGGGCTGCCCTTGCCGTGGCGCAGCATGGGTCTAGGGCTTTGGCTTCAGCATGGGTTTAGGGTTTTAGGGAGGGTTTCGTTTAGACAGAGGTAGCTGGGGGGTTGTTCTAAACTTGGTTCCCCTTACTGTACTGACTGGCATCTGCGTTTTGACGAGGAAAAGCCATGGTGAAAAGGTATCTGCAAGGACACCCAATTGACGAACATACCCCGGTACCTCGGAGGACTACGTCAACGCTCATCATCGGGCGTGCGCCATGGAGTTTGTGAAGTTGCAGGAGGAGAAGCAAGCCAAGTTGAAAGCCGCAGAGACAAAAGCGCGCGTTGCAATGCTTGCCCAGCTGGATGTCAACATGCAAACAATCAACATCAGTACTGCGGTGTCTTATTCGAAGGAGAGATGTGATGCGCAATGCATGGGCCATGGGCATGTATGTACACCAAAAAATACGTACTGCATGGAGTTGTGGAGCCTTGTTCTAGCACCCAAGCTACTTTTCAAGATCGACAGGCGTGTACATCAGCAGTTGCTGGAGTGCTGTAGGTGATGGATGTCCATGCTCCTGGTTCAGGTGAGATTGCACAGCCGCATCTGTCCAAGCCAGCAACGCCGTCATGCTTTCCGACGGTTTGCTCGCACGAGAAGGTGGCAGAGAGCAAGTGGCTGTTTAGGGTTTAAGGTTTAGGATTTAGGGTCTAGGGTTTAGGGTATATGAGGTGGCATTGTCACAACGCTCTCCCTATATAAATACTTCTATGCATTGCTGGAAGCCGGTGCCCTTGGCCTTGTTCGGCATCGTCATGGGCATCTTGACATGTGCTGAGTGTCGAGCAAGACATCCATGAACATCCCAAACCCTAAACCCTAACCCTAAACCCTAAACCCCAAACCCCAAAGCCTAAGCCCTAAAACCAAAGTCATCAGCCCTGAAATGCCCCAAGTCCCAGCGCGCCAGGTCGAAAGCGCTCTTCAACGCACCTGAGGGGGACACGATTAGCCGGAAGCCTCACCTTTCCCTGTGCAGTTTAGGGTTCAAGGGCTTCGGGGGTGTCGAATCGCAATGCAGCCCAGTATGTCTCACACAGAAACGGCACCGCAACAAGAGAAGCGGCCGCATGTAGCTATCCTTGTGGACCCGAAAGCCCAACGGCTGGAGAGTTTACGGCTTAGGGTTTAGGGTGTAGAGGGTTTGGGGTGTTTGGGGTTTTTTGGGGACTGGATAAGGTTCAGGGTTTCGAGCTTCCTTAGACGCCCCAAAGAAGCCGCAACAAAACTGCTCGCGCCCGAGTCGGGAAGGCCAGTGCCGCGTCCCAAAGCCCAAACCCTGAACCTTGAAAGCCCGAGCCCCGTAGCCCGAAATCAAGCTCCGTGGAAAAACCCTTAAACCCATCAAGCCCCAGCATAAGGCCCGTACCCTAAACCCTAGACCCCATACCCTAAACCGTAAGCCCTAAACCCTAACCCTAAAACCTAAACCCTCAACCCTCAACCCTAAACCCCAAACCCTCAACCGTAAACCCTAAACCCTAAGCTCCAAACCCTAAATCCTAAACCCTACTAAACCCCAAACCCGAGTGAACCCTCGCCAGCATCTGAGCTATGGGCCGCCGCAGAGACCACAACCGTGAGGCGGCCGGCGGCCGGGCGCTCAATGGCGAGGCAGGAAGCTCCTTTTTTTTTTGAGGGGGGGCGGGGGGGAGTTTAGGGTTTAGGGTTTGGGGTTCAGGGTTTGGGGTTTGGGGTTTCCGGGGGGGTGAAGTTTATCAGGTTTAGGGGCTAGGGTGGATGTATGTACTGTGTTTTTTTTGGGGGTAGGGGGGGAGGAGGGAGCATAAGGAGCTTTGACTGTGTCGGTGTCTTGGAGAGAGCAGCAAGCAGAACATAGCACTATTAAGGAGCTGTTTGTATTAGGGGGGAACATCCGAACACATTGTCCTTGCCGGTGGCAGCGAGGATGTCAAAGCCGAGTGGACCCGGGCTGCCGAAAGCTGCTTTGATGAACTTGTGCCCCTGGTACCCTGTACACCCAAAACCCCAAAAACCCCAAACCGTAAACCCCAAAACCCTAAAGCCCCTAAAGCCCCCAAAGCCCCTAAAGCCCCTAAAGCCCCTAAAGCCCCTAAAGCCCCTAAAGCCCCTAAAGCCCCTAAAGCCCCTAAAGCCCCTAAAGCCCCTAAACCCTAATGCCCCTAAAGCCCCTAAAGCCCCTAAAACCCCTCAAGCCCCTAAAACCCTAAAGCCCCTAAAGCCCCTAAAACCCTAAAGCCCCTAAAGCCCCTAAAACCCCTAAAGCCCCTAAAACCCTAAAGCCCCTAAAGCCCCTAAAGCCCCTAACCCCCCCCACCCCCTAAAACCGCAGAAAGCCCCAAACCCTAAACCCCAAACCCCAAACCCTGAACCCTAAACCCTAAACCCTAAACCCTAAACCCTAAACCCTAAACCCCTAAACCCCCTCAGGTGCACCGGGAAAGATGCGGCGATGGGAGGGCCTGGCGGCCTTGGCAGAGGCCGTGGACCTGGTGGCGAAGGCCGGTGGGTTTTCTTTTTCTTTGGGTTTAGGGTTTAGGGTTTAGGGTTTAGGGTTTAGGGTTTAGGGTTTAGGGTTCAGGGTTCAGGGTTCAGGGTTCAGGGTTCAGGGTTTAGGGTTTAGGGTTTAGGGTTGAGGGTTTAGGGTTTAGGGTTTAGGGTTTGGGGTTTAGGGTTTAGGGTGTAGGGTTCAGGGTTTAGGGTTTAGGGTTTGGGGTTTGGGGTTTGGGGTTTAGGCTTTGGGGTTTGGGGCTTAGGGGGAGGTGTTGTGGGGGTAGCGTCTTTTGCTGTATACATTTTTCCCTGGCCCTGAAACCTGAAAACCTCGCAAACTCCGTAAGAATTCAACCCCCCAAAGTCCCAAGCCCTTAACACCCACTCAAGCAAAAACAATCCCCAAAAACGCCTTGAAAGTTAAACTCCAGGACCCGACAAATCCTTAAACCCCAAAGTTGAAAAAACAAACGACAACCATCTCAAATCTGCATCTCAGGCGCAAGCTTGAGATACACGTTAAAGGTCTCTTCTAGGGGTGCTTCCCCTGAATAGGCGATCCCCTAATTTGCCCTCTCTATAGGAACCCCGACAAAGGTTACTCCCTTATTTGGAACCCCCCCCCACCCCGCGGGTTTAGGGGTTTAAGCGTTTAGGGAAACCCTAAACCCCAAACCCCAAACCCCAAGCCCTCACCCCAAACCCTAAACCCTAAACCCTAAACCCTAAACCCTAAACCCTCAACCCTAAACCCTCAACCCTAAACCCTAAACTGCCCTCTCAGCCTGCTGTCGCCCACAGGAGGCCTGGGATGAGAGCACCTTTCGGACCTCTGCGCCGGGCGGGGATCTCTACACGCCCGGGCCTCAGCGGGAGAATTCAGCTGGAGAAATGCCGGGTTACCGAAAAACTCAACCACCTAAACCCTCAACACAGCAGCTACTCCAACAGGAGATGAAACCGGGCCGGTCAATCCCCACCCACTAAACGGCTGAGTCCATTTGAGGGCAGGGTTGAGGGTGTATCAGGATTGAGTTTATGGGGTTGAGAGGTTAAGGGCATAGGGTGCGGGTCGTTTAGGGTTTAAGGTTTTGCCCCAGGCCCAGAGCCTTGAGTGGTTCTGTGCAAGACAAGACGCATAAGGGGCGGGTTGTCAGGGTTTCCGGGTTCAGGTCGGTGTTAGAGGTAAAGGCTCAACGTGCATGTGTTGCAGGCAGTGGCATCGCATCTTTGCGCACGGGACTCTGCCAGATGGTCAGCAGGGTGCCATTGAGTGCTATAGCTGCAGCTCAAAACATGGCAGGGCAATGACGCGTCTTCACACCCGTGCATCCCAAATCAAACCCTAAACACTAAACCCTAAACCCTAAACCCTAAACCCTAAACCCTAAACCCTAAACCCTCAACACTGGAGCCCGAAACTCTCAGCCCCAAGACCAAAGCTCAGGCTTCATTGGTCCGAGGAGGACGGCTATGGACACAAAGTGATTTGGGTGCGCGGATGGGTGGGGCCCAAGGCTCCCGATGATTTCACAACTACCCGTGTGAAGAGAGACTACATCTTCAGCAATTCGGAGTGTGGGGTTCAATGACCCGCCAGTTCCCTTGTCGGCAGATGTTGCTTCGCCAAGAGCATGCAGTTGACCCCGGTATCCGCAGCCCAAGGAAGCCGGACTTTCTTGACGCTCATGCAACCAGACGACACGTCGCAAGCAGCCCCGAGCGGGGAATGCGATCGCAGGCATCTTCTGAGAAAACTGAGGCGCGATGACGCGCGGATGGCGTGCGATGGCGTGCGCGTAGATGTGCTAGCCAGCAGGATTGCAAGAGTGTAGGGAGGGACGGCAGCCGGGCAAAGACCTGGACAGCAAGATGAAACAAGCGAGACTTATGCTGCCGTCCGCATCTGCACTAGGTCTAGCGTGACGGAGTTGGTTCCTCGTGAATTCGATCTCTAATCTCCCAAGCTCTAAGCCCCCCAAGGCCCCCCCCTGAGCACCAAACCCCCCCCCCCCCGCCCAAACTCAAACGAAAATGAAGCCAAGCAGGCCCTAAACCCTACTGAACCCTAAACTAGGCCCTAAGCCCTTAAAACCAAACCCCAGCAAAACCCGACAAAAACCCCTAAACCCCTAAAAATGCCCTAAGCCCACAAAATCCTAAACCCCTACACCCTCAAAATTCTAAACCCCCAACAAAACCCTAAACCCGGTGGATCCCCTCCTGAGGCGCCTTCTGCGCAAGCGATTCGCAGTCGTTCTCCGTGCTGGGCACCGCCAAGGGTGGGATCTACTTCTTGAAGTGCCCGGGGACCACACCCAAGGGTTTAGGGTTTAGGGTTGAGGGTTTAGGGTGGTCGGGAGTGTGGGGAATCTTTGGCTTAAGGGCTACGCAGGCTTCAGGGTTTCCGGGATCTAAGCCTGGGAGAGACGAGGCCAAACATCCTAAACCTACCTAAGCCCTAAGCCCTAAGCCCTAAGCCCTAAGCCCTAAGCCCCAAGCCCTAAGCCCTAAGCCCTAAGCCCTAAGCCCTAAGCCCTAAGCCCTAAGCCCTAAGCCCAAAGCCCTACAGCCCTAAAGCCATCAGCCTGGGGTCGCAGGTACAGAAGCGGCTTCACCCTGAGAGCGTACCAGCGGAGGACCCGGGTTCGAGGGTGAAGGCTTAGTGACAGAGTCCTGGACTTTCAGCCCCAAAGAAGCCCCTCCCTGTTTCTCCCCCCGCAAACCCTAAGCCCAAACACTCCAAAACCCCCCCCCGCCAAAGAAAAAACCTGCAGCAGCAACCCTGAAAGCCCCTAAGCCCCAAACACCAGACCCTAAACCTCAAACCCTAAACCCTAAACCCGAAGCCCTAAACCCTAAACCCTAAACCCTAAACCCTAAACCCTAAACCTTAACCCTAAACCCTAAACCCTAAACCCTAAACCCTAACCCCTAAACCCTAAACCCTAAACCCTAAACCCTAGACCCTAAACCCTAAACCCGAAGCCCTAAACCCTTGGAATTTTATGTTGCTTTGGGAAGGCGGGAGGACATCGAGGAGTGGCCCTCAGCTGCAGGCCTCGGCTTGGGGTTTGGGGCTTGGGGTTTAGGGTTTCGTGTTTAGGGCTTTGGTCGACCCTAAACCCTAAACCCGAAACCCTAAACCCTAAACCCTACATCCTAATCCTAAACCCCAAGCCCTAAACCCTAGACCCGAAACGCTGCAAACCCTAAACCCTACTGGGAACCCCAACCCCCAAATCCCTCGCAGACAATGCTCGGGGAATTGAAGCCCTAAGCCCCAAACCCCAAACCCCAAACCCCAAACCCGTAATCCCCTGAACCCTAACCCTTGATCCCCTTCAACCCTACTAAGCCCTAAAAACTGTCCCCAACCCCTAAACCCTGAACTCTAAACCCTAAACCCCAAACCTTACACCCCAAACAGTTTTCGCCCAGCCACCGAAGCTCCGCGCATTTTGCCCCCGGAAGGTGGTGCAGCCGCCAATTCGAACTCGGTGCGGGGCCCCGACTTGGGTTTAGGGTTTAGGGTTTGGGGTTTGGGGTTTAGGGTTTAAGGTTTAGGGTCTGGGGTTACGGCTAGAGTCTAGGGATTTTGGGGATTTTGCAGGGGTGCCGTCTTTCTGGCCAGACAGGGTTCTGGGTTTCGGGGGCTTAGCGAGGGTTTCGGGGTTTGGGGACTGGTTTGAGGTTCAGGGTTCTGGGGGCTTAGGGTTTAGGCATGGAGGGGTGGAGGGCATTGGGCTTCAATTTGCTTGTACCTGCTGATCGTCTTCAGGTAGTTCTAGTAATGGTTGAGGTTCTACCGTTGTAGTAGCAACAGGTCGTATCAACAGAAGACATAGCAATACTAGTAGAAGTAGTGACAAGTTAAAGCAACAGAAAGAGACTTAATAGGTAACAGGCAAAACGGAACAATAGTAGCCTGTGGGGTTGTCCGAGATCTGTCGTGTGCCCACCCTAAACCCTAAACCCTAAAACCTAAACCCTAAACCCTAGACCCTAGACCCTAGACCCTAGACCCTAAACCCTAAACCCTAGACCCTAGACCGTAAACCCTAAACCCTAAACCCGAAACCCAGGGATTCAACACGGAGATCGTCTCGTTCGAGGGTCCGCCGAGCCCGACCGTGACAGGAGCGGTCAGGGGCTCGCGGTAGGCTGCGTGGGGTTCGCGCGGAGTCGTGCTTCGGGTTTAGGGTTTAGGGTTTAGGGTTTAGGGTTGTAGTGCTTGAGTGCCAGAGCCGAAGGTTTGCCTGTGGACAGCTGTGGCCATGCTTCATGACGTTCTCACTAGTGGGCGTGATTCCGTCGCAAGGACGATGGCTAGGAATATCTGGATGCAAGCTCTCCTGCGTTGCAGGAAGCCCCACAGAGCGCGTCAGCAGCCGCTGGCCAAGCTATGATTCCCATGCTTACTGAGTTCGGTTATCACGATTCTTACGATCATATGATGATTACCATGACGAGTTTTAGTGGTGGTAGTACTACTGCTACTGCTACTGCTACCGCTACTGCTTCTGTCTTTCTAATTATCATGAGGGGTCCTGGCTTCAACCCAGTTTTAGCCCGCTTGACCGGGCTAAGGTCCACCGAACAGTCGGCTCCCCAGTGCGGATGTTTGTGCAGGAAACGCCTCCCAAAGCGCAGAGGGGGGATGCGCGCCATCCCGTAGGGGCTGCTCCCTCAGGCCAAGTACATGCTCCCCACCAACGTCCGGCCAGCGCATGGGCTCGAAGCCTCATTCTCGTTGTTTGGGAAACCCTGGCAAAACCCCCGGGGTGATGCAACTTTGTACATGGCTTGCTCTGGTGCTCTGGAGATGGAGCACGCCCATCGCTGCCTCCCGCGTTGCCGGGAAGGTCGGCCAGTTCGGGCGGCTCGCGCTGAGCAACGCGTCCGAGTCAGGCCCCCACGCGAGTCACGCGAGCTGCAACCGGGCCGTGGAGGAGCTCGAGCGGAAGTTCGAGGCGCGCAGCGCGATGCAGTCGGCGAAAGACTCGCTGGGGCACACTCACAAGGTCGGGCATAGACAGCGCTTTCATAGTGTCTTTGAATACATGGGGGGTTACGAAAAACAAGGCACCCGAAACATAGACCCCCAAATAGTACGTATAGGCTTTCCTTATACCCATTCCTGAAGGTCGACTATGGCCTGATCGCGGAGAGCGGGGTGAGCGTCGTAGATGGCTTCACCGACCTCTCCTGGAAGGTCGAGGTGTCCTCTGAGCAGAAGAGGAACAGGGGTAGGGCCATCTTTGGACGAATTTTTCTTGTCCTATTTTAGAGTTTCCCCAGAATTCTCAGTGCCCTTATGCAGGCACCCCCCCCCCCTCCCCCAGCCCGGAGGATCATAGACGGGGTGGGCAAGACGGTCCAGGGCGTGAGCGGCGTCATGCTTGCGATCTCGCCCACACTTGGGCCAGCCGGGCCTGTAGCCGCCGGCATCTCCACTTGCCTCAGCCTGCTGGCTGGGGGCATGATGGTCGCAACGGAGACGGCGACGCCCTGCCCGGACCAGCAGCTCGACGCCCTGACGGAGCGTGTGAACTCCGGCTTCAACATGCTGGGCTTGCAGCTCGCTGAGCTGACCGAAGAGACGCGCAAGGTGCAGAAGGCGATCAACAAGCTGGCCGAGGACCTCTCGCAGCAAGTCACGCAGGTCCTGCACAAGCTGACCCAGGTCCAGATCCAGCTTGTGCAGAACTACATGAAGCGTGACCTTGTCGACATGAGGATCATACACAGCCGCCACCAGGACTTCCTTGATGCGGTGCAAAGCGGTATGGCGGCCAAGGATATTCACGCCATTCTCTCACGAACGATCAGAGCAGATCAAGTTCGGTATGACCAGCTGCGACAGGGGCTTGAGGGGAACTTGGACACCTGGCTCAACTGCGAAAGCTGCGGTGGAAAGGCTGCAGCCGCACTGTGGTTCACGCAGGCGTACGCAGCGCGCGTGGAGATCTTCAACCTGATGTACTTCTACGACCTCGTGGATGGGCACGTGGACATGGCAGTTCTCCGTCGCAGGCATCTCGAGGAGGACAGCAGGGATTGGACCGCCAAGATCGTCAGTCTGGGGCTGGGGTGTTGGCTGCGCCTGCAGCCCGAAGAGCTTGCTCCGTACCTGCAGGTGCCCCTTGCCGTCCAGGGCCAGGCGCGGCAGTGGGGCACCCAGATGAGGCACTGGAATGCCACGCTGCGCGTCGAGGCGGCGCGGAACCTGCGAGAACTCGCCATTCAGTCAAGGGCAGCTGCAGCGATGGCTGTGTCGGAGCTGCAGGCGGCGGTCCAGGCGAAGACCATGCTGGCCTCGGGGGACAGCTCGTGGGGGAGGGACTACTGCAAGTGCGTGTACTCGCGTCGCATTCATGGTGCTCAGGGCTTCGGATGCCAACGCAGCTGCACAGGTGGCACTGCCGAGTGGTTTTCCGTCACCCGCAATGGGCGCCTCCTGTTCGCTGGCGAGGAGCCCTGGAAGGCAACTTGGGAGGTGGGCCATGACCCCTCGGACATCTTGAACAAGGGGCCCTGGAAGAACTACACCACCTCGGCTCACTACCATCCCATCGAGGCCCCGGGCATGTTCCAGGTGCGATTCTCCCCGGAAAACGCCACGGACCCACGCACCAACACCGCCTACTGCCTCATGGGCGGCTATGAAAGGCTACTCGTGATACCAAGCTGCCGCAATTTGGTGGACTGGAGAGCCCTGCACGTCGCGTCCTGCGTCGAAGCGTCGCGGGCCTTGGGAGCCATCGGCTTTCCGGCCGCAGTGGAGGCTGCAGGGGCACTCCGCGCCATGGCCGACCACGTGGATCCCGGCGATGTCTTCCGCCCGTGCGCCGACGCGGCGCAGGCTGCCCTGCAAGAGTTGCAACCTGAGAGCGCCGGGGCCTGAGAAGCCGCTGGCGTGGTGGAGCATCGAGGTGATCAGTCCTCTAGTACTGGTCATATTGGATCAACTTAACCCTCAATGACAAGAATGCGAATAAGAAGAGACACAATCATATTATAAGTGGTTCATAAGTACAGTTATCAGCGAGTTCTAAATACCATGAACCTCCCAGTACCCTTTTTGGCGGTCCCTGTAAGGGGATTCTGTTCAATTTGGGGTACTCTGTTCTGGGAAACACCCATTGCGGTACCTAGGAAGGCTGGCACACAGACTTCGCGGCGGTTTGCGGAGCGGGGCGGCAAAATCGATTCGCGTTTGCCTGCGTTGCAAGAGTTTAGGGTTTAGGGTTTAGGGTTTAGGGTTTAGGGTTCAGGGTTTAGGGTTTAGGGTTTAGGGTTCAGGGTTTAGGGTTTAGGGTTTAGGGTTTAGGGCTTAGGGCTTAGGGCTTAGGGCTTGCTTGAAAGCTTGTTGCAAAGCAGATCAGAAGCTTGTGTCGACACGCCGGGGGGCTTGACATTAACTTCGCTGCGGGGGCCGGTGTTCATATGAAGTAGGGTATATATTTCTTGTACCCCCAAAAGGACACCAGGTATATACACTCACCAATATTAAAAAGGAACCTTATATACACTCACCAGTAACAGAAATATAAACCCTGTGTTCATATGGGAATTGCCGAAAGAGGTACCTTATTGGGTCCTTATGATAAGGGGGAATCTTGGGGTCTTTCTTAGGGGTCCCAAATTTTCGGCAACCCCCATTTTGAGCGCACACATATACGGAGCATAACGTAGTTAGACACATATATGAGCTAACCCCTAAGCCCGCAACAGTGCAACTGGACAAGAATAATCTGCCTAAACCCGAAACCCGAAACCCAAAACCGTCAGCCCTAAACCCTAAACCCCAAACCCTAAGCCCTAAACCCTGGACCCTAGACCCTATACCCTCCGCATGCCGCCCAGGAGGAAGATGGGAGATGTCGGGCGGAGGATAGTTGCAACATTTTGGTGCGCTGCTGATGCTCTCCGTAGCCCTATTGCTTCGAATATCATGGCAGCCTCAGGTAACCCACCCTGAAAAATATGAAAATCAGAATGATCACTTCTTACCCTTATAGGGAAGAATATTAATTCTTTTTTTGGTGCTTCTTAAGCAAACAGTACACAGCTCTGCGCTCAGGAAACAAGACAGCATGAGATCGGGGTCGGGTGAGACTTGGTGTAGGATGAGGTCTTATTCAAACCCTACCCCAGAGAACCCACTGGATGCAGGGCCTTCTGGTTTTGATGTGGGTGAGGGTTTAGGGTTTAGGGTTTGGGGTTTAGGGTTTAGGGTTTAGGGTTTAGGGTGAAGAGATACAAAGCAATGGAGCACCACATGACAGCCAAGTGACCACATCGAAGCTAACACCCGAGAACTCTGAGAGCCGGCGCCATGCCGGTGTACTCCAAGCGTGCGCGGACGCAGCTGTCTGTGTGGGGCTCTCAGTTTGACTCCGTGTACCGGTCTGCTGCAGTTTTGGCACAGAGTTCGCTCACATCCCTAAACCCTACGAACCCCCAGCTGTCATCACGCAAACACCCAGGAGAGTTCCCCTAAACCCGGCTAAACCCTTAAACAGCACAAGCCACAAACCTAACCGCACGCCCGAACAGCATCAGCCCTTCACCCTGATCCCCAAACCCCGAAAACCCTCAACCCGAAACTGGGTTTGCGGCAGCTCAGCCCCCATAACATGTAGGATTTAGGGTTTGGTGTTTAGGGTTTTGGCTTTAGGGCCCCATCAAATTCAGACCGAGGGCCTTTGACAATCGGGCCGTGGCCACACTTCGCATGTTGTGGAGGATTCGAATGCCGTCTGCAGCCTGACGTTTGCTGCTCCTGTGCCACATCCCCCGAGCCATGAACCAAAAAGCTTACGAAAAACCCTGAAGCCCTAAACCCTAAGCCTAAACCCTAAACCCTAAGCCCTAAGCCCTAAGCCCTATAGGCCCTAAGCCCTAGACCCTAAACCCTAAGCCCTAAACCACCCCGTAATCCTGGATCATGCAAGCCCTCTACGAGGCTGCACCGCCGGAGGCCATGCAGTTCCGTCCAGATCTTGAGCCACTTGGCCGGGGTCCCGGCAACCTGGGGCTTTAGGGTTTAGGGTTTCGGGTCAAAAGTCTTTTTTTTTGTTTAATAATAGGTGTTTTTAGCGTTTTGGGTTTGTTTGTTCGGATTTCTAGGGTTGATGGGGTTTGGCGTTTTTGAGGGTTGGTGCGGGGACCGGGGGGCGGGGGTCCGGCTTGCGGGGGTTAAGGTATAGGGTTCTTGGGTTTTGGGGTCAGGGTTCAGGGTTTGTGAAGTATCGGAAGGTAGGTTTCTAACAGATCATAGTAGAAAAGGAGTACAACTACGTGGATATACACGCGTTCGCATACAAGTTGACACGTCATCTCTACATACACGCGCGTCTAAAGTCTAAGCACATGCATCCCGATGTGCATGTGTACGTACATTCTTCCCCGAGCCCTCGTGGACATCGGAAAAGCTAGCCATCGCAACCCTAAACCCTAAACCCTGAACCCTAAACCCTCAACCCTGAACCCTGAACGGTTCTTGCTTCTTACAAGTCTTGCTTTCCGGAGGCCACCTTCTACTGCATCGGATGCTTTGCTGTGAGGGCCTCAGAGATTTTTAGAAATTCTTAGGGGCCTGGAGGGGGTCGCCGTTGTCAACTGCCTGGCGGTTTAGGGTTTAGGGTTTAGGGTTTAGGGTTTAGGGTTTAGGGTTTAGGGTTTAGGGTTTGGGGTACTGCAATGGCGCTTGCGCAGGGACTGGTGGCCCCCTCGTGGTGTAGTGGAGATGCTGACAGCTGGGCACCTGTGCTGGTGCAGCTGGCTGAGCTTGATGGTCGCTTTGGAGTAGAGGTATCCATGGCGCCCACAGTGCACAGGAAAGTCTATCTTCCTCACATCTAGTAGTCGTAGAACTGAGTTGCAAGAGTACCTTGGAGTGGCGTGACATTTTGCTAGCATTGACTGAAGGTTCAACTCTACTAGTGTTGCCGCTGGAGCTTGGCTCGGTCAGAATGCTCCACGAGCTGCCCCTAGCATGTACAGATCGGACCTCCGCTACTGTCAGGCAAACGGCTTGTGGCAGAAGGCTCTGAGTCTGCTGGAGAGTGCCCACCGGGAGCGCAAGCGCCTGGACGCCGTGACCTATGGCGCGCTGGTGGGAGCGTGCGCAAAGGGACAGCAGTGGCGGCATGCTGTGGCACTCATCTCGGAGGCTGACAGCTGCAGGCTGCATCTGAATGTGGTGACGTCGAACATGGCCATGGGCGCCTGTGCAACTGCGGGGGAGTGGCAGGTGGCCCTTACCCTTCTCTCGGACGTGGTGGCTTCCGCTGCGCAGCCCGACCTCGTGAGCTACAACGCTGCGGTCAACGCCTGCAAGGAGGCGAGCGCGTGGCAGAAGGCCCTGCTGCTCTTTCAGGAGCTGCAGGTCGAAAGGTTACGGGCGGATGCCATCACACTCGGCGCGGTGGTCAGCGTTGCGAAGCCAAACAAATGGAAGCACCTGTGTTTTTATCCTCTGTTTGCTCGCACCCTCAAGCCAAAGCCCAACTAAGCCCCAGATTGTAGCTCCGAACTGAGAAATCCTGCCGCTCTTAGGCGTGTGAGATGGGAAGCCAGTGGCCCCAAGCAATTGACTTGCTCTCCAGCCTGCCAGGAGGCTGACCGACTGTGCTTTTGGGAATTGGTTCGGTAGGCCCCAAAGAAATTGGGCCATGTTGGTGGTTCTCAATATACCGCAGAACGCACGGCATTTCCGCACCTCCCCACTTCCCCCAAGCGACACGGACACGCAGCCTCACACAGGGGAGGATTTCTAGGGTAAACCCTAACCCGAAGCCCTGAACCCTAAACCCCGAAACCCACACCCTGGTAAACACCTAAGTCTGCATTGAGAGGTGCTGGGATGGATGCTGCAGTGGCTTACAACCGGGCCACCTATGCCTGCGCGAAAAGCGATGCATGGGAGCAGGCCGTGGCAGTTCTGTCGGCCGCCTCGGAGAAGGGGATGCGGAGCTACACCATCACATACAATGCCTTGATCCTTTGGTTGCTTACAATCCTTTTACAGATAAAACCCCCTAACCCCCTAAACCCTAAACCCTAAACCCTAAGCCCTAAATCCAAAACCCTAAACCCTAAACCCTAAACCCAAAACCCAAAACCCTAAAATCCCTTAAAAACCCTAAACCTAAACCCTAAAAAAGAGCCTGCTTCTGGGCTAGGGGTATTCAGACCCTAAGGATCAGTGCCTGCGAACGGCAGGAGCAGTGGTTGCAGGCCCTGGGCCTGCTCGCCATGGCCCAACACGCGCATGTGGACACTGACCTCGGGGGCTACAATGTGGCCATGTCTGCCTGCGTCAAGTGCAAACGCTGGGAGCAGGCGCTAGAGTTGGGCCTTTGGGCCGTGCATACACAGAGGCTGCAGGGAGATGCCATCATGCTCCAACTCGCCGTCAGTGCCGCCGAGCAGGGGAGCCTGTGGCTTCAGGCGCTTGAGACACTTGGCACGATGGCAGGTGCCGCTTCTCCATTTTCCGGTTTTCCCTCGTCTTTGTAGCAAGGTGACATCATACAGAGTTCTACATAACAGCTCGCAAGGTTTGTCGGAGAGTTGACGAGAAGACGGCTGGAGTGCCCTACGCTGACCTGCGGTGCAGCTATCAGCGCCTGCGCATCACAGGCGGCCTGGCAAGGTGCGCTCCATGCGCTGGGGATGCGGGAGGCAGGCGAAACAGACGCACAGGGTTCCATCATCACGCTGAACAAAGCCGTATCCGCATGTGCCCGAAGCTTGCTTTGGCAGCGGGCTCTGTTCTTGGGCCACCATGGCGAAATTGGCCAAGACTCTCCGTCACAGCCAGACCTTATGATGCCAGGTAGAACCATTGGACATTTCCATATTTCTCTTCATGAGCTTTAAGAGGCATGTAGGAAGCTGTGTCAGAGAAGTTTTGAGTGGGCCAATCTAGGATGTACATGACCTGGATGGGCGCGTTGGAGCGCGGGGCCGAGTGGCAGCAGGCCGTTCTCCTCCTGGATAGCCTCATCCAGGACCAGTTGGACCCGGATCCCCTCCTTTGGTCGGCCTTTGTGAATGTCTGTGAGAACGCCGGGCAGCCGGCCCTCTCTTTCCTGTCGCAAGTGGAGAGTCGAGATGATGATGGCATGCTCATACTGGCCATCAGGGCCATGGGGAGGCGCCCTTGCGTGCGACTTCTCGTGTTTGCTCGGGTCGGGAGATACGTTCTATATGGAGTCGTACATGACTCGCTAAACTAGGGTAGCTAGGGTGCCCTTCTCAAAAGCTTCCCACACAGGGACCCCGAGCTTGTTCCTCAACATCGATTCATGTTGCCCCTGAGGAAGGGTGAGTGGGAGCAGGCCTTGCAGCTTGTGAGCGGATGGAAGGAGGGTGCAGGCAACGTGACGGTGCAGAACGCCGCCATCTCCGCTTGCTCTGCAGCTTCTCAGTGGGAGAAGGGCCTGATGCTCTTTGCCTCGCTGTTTGAGCAGCAGGTGCAGATGGACGCCATCACGTTTGGAGCCGCGATACAGGCGTGCTCCGTGCCGGGGGATCCTTGCTGGCAGCTTGCCCTGGACATCTTTTCGCAGATGGAGCTGGTGCAGGTGGAGAAGGATACCATCAGCTTCAATATTGCCATGGGTGCCATGGAAAGCGTGGGCCAGTGGCACCGGGCTTTAGCTCTACTCTGGGACTTGCGCAGTACACTTGCGCAGCCAGATCGAGTCACCCTGGCGACGTGTGTTCGTGCGTGTGCCAAAGACACCAACTGGCAAGGGGGACTGCGCTTGCTGTTCTATCAGGCGCATGAGGGCCAGAACCTCGACCTCACTGTTTGGAATGCGGCAATCAGTGCTTGCGGTGAGAGTGGCGAATGGCAAGTAGCCTTGCAGCTGCTCGCAGATGCCCAAAGACAGCTAGGCGCGGTCGACGTCGTCACCTACAACGCGGCCATGAATGCTTGTGGGATCGGGCTGGAGCAGGCCCGCGCCCTGGAGCTCTTCGAGGAGCTTCCCAAGCAGTCCATCCAGCGAGACCAGTTCACCTACGCCACGGCCATGGATGCTTGGTACCTTTTTGTTTTGGTTCGGGTTCCCTTATAAAGGAACCAACCAAAACAAGGGTGCACGTATTATTGAATATGGCTACTGGGCTACTAAGGATGCCCTCTCAGGCGCTGGCGCCCGTACTCTGTTGGAGAGGCTTGAGGCTGGGGGTTGCCGGCTGAACTCGGTGGTTTACACAGGTGCCATGCGGGCCTGCAATAGGGACCTGGAGTGGGAAGAGGCCGTGGGGCTCTTCACGAAGATGCGGAGGACGACGATGCAGACCAACCTGATCACGTTCAACACGCTGCTCGACGCATGTGGGAATGGTGGGCAGTGGGAGGGGGCACTGAAAGTGCTGGGCCAGCTCAGCGAGACCCTGCTCGAGGCAAACAGCCGCTTAGCCGCACCTGCACGTCTGTCAGCTTCTGGGGGTTTCTGAGATGAGGGGTGCCTTTTTGGGGGTCCTGATTATCAGGGACTCCTACTGGGGTTTATATTAGGTCTGCCATATGCCTAATTACAAGTGACTCCAATGATGCTGGGGTCTATATTGGGGGCCCCCTCTTTATCGGAAGCCCCCCCCCCCCCTGTCTGGGCTGTTCTCTGCATTGCGGGCCCCGCCGATGGGTTTTTGTGACAATTCAAGTCAGAGCCGCACCGCGGGAACATGCTGTAGTTTAGGGTTTAGGGTTTAGGGTTTAGGGTTTAGGGTTTAGGGTTTAGGGTTTAGGGTTTAGGGTTTAGGGTTTAGGGTTCCCCCAGTCACCAAAGCATCGCTCAAAGCCCTCTTCGGGATTGCCCCTCCTCCCCCCACGCACCCGGGAGGTTTCCTTAGATTTTGCAGTTGCCTTAGAGGTGGATACTCACGGGGTGGTGGCCCTGAACCCTTGAGACTCTCTGGATTCCTGTCCCTAAGCCCTAAACCCTAAACCTAAACCTGAACCCCAAACCCCTAAAATCTGAACCCCAAGCATGCCAGAAGCCCTATGAATCCTATATAAACCCCATCAGCCCTATATCCCGATAAACCCTGTAAACCCTATAAACCCTATAAACCCTGCAAACCCTAATAAACCCTAATGAATCCCATAAACCTATAAGCCCCATAAACCCCATAAACTCTACAAACCCCATAAACCCTACAAAAACTACAAACCCTACAAACCCTATAAACCCCATAAACCCTATTAACCGTATAAACCCTATAAACCCTACAGACCTGACAAACCCTATAAACCCCATAAACCCCTAAACCCTATAAGCCCTATAAACACCCTTGCCTGAATAAACCCTGAACCCTGAACCCTAAACCCTAAACCCTAAACCCTAAACCCTAAACCCGAAACCCGAAAATGACCCCTTCAGGCTTCTCCTACTTCGCAGCCGTGCAGGCGGCGGCGAGGGGCAATGTCTGGGAGACCGCACTGCGGCCCGGCGCTGTTTGGCGCTTGCGGGTTCGGTTTTGAGGGTTTAGGGTTTAGGGTTTAGGGTTTAGGGTTTAGGGTTTAGGGTTTAGGGTTTAGGGTTTAGGACTTCCGGCTTTCTTGTCGGGTTTAGGGTTTAGGGTTTAGGGTCTAGGGTTGAGGGTTTAGGGTTTAGGGTTTAGGGTGGTAGGGTTTAGGGTTTAGGGCTTAGGGCTCAGGGCTTATGATTTTGACGGGAGAGGGTTCGGCATATAGGGGTCTAGGGGATTGCAGTGTTTAGTTTAGGGTTTGCCTGTTTTCCGTAACATACTTCTTTGTAGGTTGTTGCCATAAAGCCCTCTAGAAAGCTGAGTTCTTGAGGTAGGGGTATTCAATACATTCAAGGTCTCGGGTTTGGGACCTTCCGTGCGGCGAGGTAGGAAGGGACTTTGCCAGGAACCCTAAACCATAAACCCTAAACCCTAGACCCTAAACCCTAAACCCTTAAGCCTAAATCCTAAACCCGAAACTACTGACCCTTCCAAGGCAAGTTCTCGCCGACATGGAGCAAGAAGAGATGGAGGTGACGGTGGTCTTCCACAACGTCGTGCTTGATGCTTGCGCAAGGGCCGCGCTCCTCTTCCGGGCTTTAGCAAGGTGAGGGTTTGAGACTCTGATGAGGGTCTAGGGTTTAGGGTTTAGGGTTTAGGGTTTAGGGTTTAGGGTTTAGGGTTTAGGGTTTAGGGTTTAGGGTTTAGGGTTTCCTCTGTGGCTGTTGCAGAAGCAGCCACTGCGACGGTTCATGACAGGGAGTGTTGGGGGAGGCTTCCTTTCAACCTTGCCCTTTTCCTGCGTCCGTGTCTGTGGGGTGACCCAGAGGGGCCCTCCCGCAGAAGAAAGGGAAAAGGTCTCTTCTTGCGTGCTCAGTCGCAGCCCTTCCAAGGTACTGGCAGACAACGCTGCAACTGCTCGACGATGTCCAGCAGTCCGGGTTGGAATTGAGCCTTGTCTCCCACAACACGGCTGTGGACGCCTGTGTGAACCCTCGGCTCAAAAACAGCAGCCAGTTTCGAGCACAGACGCTTTTTGCATACAACATGCAATGTCAGTGGGCTGTTCGAGTTCGGCTTTGCGCTTAATGGAATGGTTCCTCAGAAGACACAGGTTCTTCCAAAGGGACCCTTTAAACCCTCAAACTTGGGATGTTCCCCCTTATACTAGCAGTACCCACTACTATAATCCCTATTAAGGACTGTCAGTATAAGGGGGAACATCCCAAGACGTACTTGTGGTTCCTCAACCCTAAACCCTAAACCCTAAACCCTAAACCCTAAACCCTAAACCCTAAACCCTAAACCCTAAACCCTAAACCCTAAACCCCGAAACCCCGAAACCCTAAACCCTAAACCCTTTAAACCCTAAACCCTAAACCCCATAGACCTTATATAAGGCCCCCCCCCCCCTCCCATAGATCAGCAATCTCCAGGAAAGCCCTGCAGTGGGAGCGAGGCCTAGTCATGCTGGCCAACATGATGCTTGGGTGCGCGGTTTAGGGTTTAGGGTTTCGTAGGGTTTAGGAAACCTTTCACTTTTTTTGGTGCATTCTATGCAGGCGGCCCACAAAATCACTTGTAGTTTTTCTTCAACTCTTCTTTTCACTGTCCCTAAACCTGTAAACCCCATGAAATCTCCGACCAAAGACGGTCTACTCCCGAATGGATGGGCGTTGGGTTTTCTAGGGGAGACCCCCCCCCCCCCCCCAAACCCTAAACCCTAAACCCTAAACCCTAAACCCTAAACCCTAAACCCTAAACCCGAAACCCTAAATCCTGAGCCAGAAAAGCCGGCAAGGATGGCGCAGGAACTTGAGCGGGACTTCTTCCTTTATCAGCGCCTGGCCGCTGGTCGTGTTTTAGGGAAGCCACTTGGAGGTTCATGGGTTTAGGGTTTAGGGTTTAGGGTTTCATGGGTTGTTCTAAGTAGGGTTATAGTTGTGGCACCTATACTTATTATAACCCTATTTAGGGTACGTGTAGCCTTTACCTATACCTAGAACTGCCGAAGAGCCTCCAAGCAGGCTTTGAGGTGAGGGAAGCCCAGGGCTTTAGGGAAGCCCAAGTCTCTTAGAATGGGGGTCTCGGGTTTCGGGTTTAGGGTTTAGGGTTTCGGGTTTAGGGTTCAGGGTTTAGGGTTATTCCCGTTTTCCAGGGGTAATGGTCATTGGAGGGGGGGGGGGGGGGGTGAGGGAGGGTGCCGTGAGGAGCCGGTACTAAAACGCAGAAAGGCCCTGATCTCATGTAGCCCGAGACCCTAAACCCACCCTAAACCCTAAACCCGGTGCACATGACTGAAGGTGGCACTGCACCTGCAGTGACGAGAGGCCATGGGTTCTCCTTGTCTGCTGAGTGCGACCGCCGGCGCCGTCGTTTTCACGACTTTTTTCAGGCTTGGCTGTGTTTACGTAGGGTTTAGGGTTTAGGGCTTAGGGTTTAGAGTTTAGGGTTAAGTGTTTAGGGCGGTTTAAGGTTTAGGGGGTAGGGTCTACCCAGTGACTCCCATCTCGCTTTACTAGGAAAGACTCTTGAAATGGTCAGGGATGGTAAGAGGGATCCGAATTCGGGCTCTTCCTTGCTTGAAGGATGTTGGGGTCTCTGGTTACTTGGAGGCTCATGAGAACCCTCCTACTACTACTACTACTACTACTACTACTACTACTACTACTACTACTACTACTACTACTACTACTACTACTACTACTACTACTGCTACTGCTACTGCTACTGCTACTGCTACTGCTACTGCTACTGCTACTGCTACTGCTACTGCTACTGCTACTCCTACTGCTACTCCTACTACTACTACTACTACTACTACTACTACTACTACTACTACTACTACTTCGAACTACCCATGGACTTCTCATTAGGGTTTAGTTTAGGGTTAACCCGAAGCCGGCATTTCCCAAGCAAGGAACCCCAAACACTATCCTCGTTTTAGGAACCTCCAAGAAGGGTACCCAACTTTCGAAAGCCCTGTTTTCTTAAAGATGTCAGCAGGTCAGCTGCGCGATTGGGACCGTGATCCTTGTGCAGGGCAAGTCGGGCTGAACATGCAGGAGTTTTTTTTGCATGGCAGCGCAACTGCCTGCAATCTTTAGCAGACCTGAATGGCGAACAAAGAGAGAAGCGCTGGTGGCAGGGCTGGGGCGGTTTTTGGGGTTATTCCGGCCAGCTGTTGCAACTGCAGTGGGCTCATTGAGAGCCCAGCATAGTACACCTCAATCAATATACCCTCAAGTGAAAATGTACTAGGGATCCTAATCTGAAACAAGGTACATTCCTTACTTCAGGGTTCGTGGATTGTATCCGAGTCGCACACGGGACTCCCTTCCATCCCTGCCTAGGTCCTAGACCCTGAACCCAAACCTAAGTTACTCCAACACTGCGCTTTGACGTTTCGATCTTGTGTTTCAGACCTGCTTACGCCTCGTAGCATATACGGGTTTACGACAATAGGCGACCCCTAAAATTGAGCCCCCAAATTAGTAGGATCCCCTGATAGGAAGGACCTCAACACGCCTTTCGAGCCGACAGTCACAGAGTGCTTCTTTTAGGGTTCTTAAACCTCAACCCTAAACCCTAAACCCTAACCCTAAACCCTAGACCCCAAACCCTAAACCCTAAACCCTAAACCCTAAACCCTAAACCCTAAACCCTAAACCCTAAACCCTAAACCCTAAGCCCTAAACCCGAAACCCTAACCCCTAAACCCTAAACCCTAAACCCTAAACCCTAAACCCTAAACCCTAAACCCTAAATCCTAAATCCTGAACCCTAAACCCTAAACCCTAAACCCTAAACCCTAAACCCTAAACCCTATACCCTAGAAGCTTCGGCCAGGTTGCCATCTTTTGGTTTATCTTCGTTGCCGATCTTGCGCTCTACGGTTCCGCGAGCGGCAAGAAGGTGTTGGAGCACTCCCCAGACTCAAAGAGCCCAAAGAGCGCTGAAGTTTCAGGTTTGGGGGTTTAGGGTTTAGGGTTTTGGGTTTAGGGTTTAGGGTTTAGGGTTTAGGGTTTAGGGTTTAGGGTAATCGACTATATAGCTTATGCGAGGATCCCTACCGCAAGTTAAGGTGTATTCTTTCTCATGAACCCAAAACACTAAAGCCTAAAGCCTAAAGCCTAAAGCCTAAACCCTAAACCCTAAACCCTAAACCCTATGGAGATGTTTGATGACATCTCTTCTGGGGTTCCGCTGCCCTGGTTGAACCCAGGCTGGATTCTGAGCGTGGACAATCGCTACATAGAGGCGCCTTGCTGGGCTCGACATAGGGGGCTTCTAAGGGTTTAGGGTTTAGGGTTTAGGGTTTAGGGTTTAGGGTTTAGGGTTTAGGGTTCCTAATCAATCCCTATACGGGGGTTTCCGAAAATAGGGGTACCCGGTTTAGGGGTCCCTTTACGGGAATTCTATCGTATTTGGGGTATAAAAGGGGTACCCGTATTTTGGGAAATTATTACATCGAGTCTACTAGAGATACTTGTAGACCCTTTGCAGAAGAAACATGCCCTTCAAAGAGGCGTGTGTTCATTCAAGGTTACATCGGTTAGCCCGTGCTTTTCATCGTATTTCAATTTTTTTGGCTACTTACCTTCTCATTCCGTTGCCTAAACCCTGAACCCTGAACCCTAAACCCTAAAACCTAAACCCTAGACCCTAAGCCCTAAACCCTAAACCCTAAGCCCTAAACCCTAAGCCCTAAACCCTAAACCCTAAACCCTAAACCCTAAACCCTAAGCCCTAAACCCTAAACCCTAAGCCCTAAACCCTAAACCCTAAACCCTAAACCCTAAACCCTAAGCCCTAAACCCTAAACCCTAAACCCTAAACCCTAAACCCTAAACCCTAAACCCTAAACCCTAAATGCTCTGCGTGAGCTGCCAGGCGCTACCGGGCATGCCCGACAGCTACTCCGACAGCGAGCTCGGACCTTAACCGGTGCGTGTGGCCCCTTTTTCGTGGTTTGTTTAGGGTTTAGGGTTTGGGGTTTGGGGTTTAGGGTTTAGGGTTTAGGGTTGGTTTAGGGTTTTGGCGCGCATTCCAAACGTACGGTAGGGTTTGGTTTGGGCCGCATAGCTGCATAGTTGAGCCGAGGTCACGGCAGTGCGACGACTGCGGCACCCACGTGTCACACGAACGAGTGGCTTGGTGGAGAATGGCGGAGACATTAGCACGAGACGCAGTGCGTGGATTCCTTGATGACCTCCAAAGGGACTCCCACAACGCAATACCCCTTTGCCTGAGAAACGCACCTTACATTAAAGCAGGAACCCTGTCTGAATCGGGGTAGATTCGTTGACTAAGGGGCGTCGTTTGTCTTTGCTTCCAAGAATGACAGGCCTTCGTCTCTGGTAAGTGGCCTAGGGTTTAGGGTTTACAGTTTCTGTGCAGGATCTTCAACAAAGTGACCACAATATGGGTATTTCCCAAAGTAGGGATACCTCTTTTATACCCCAAATAGAACAGAATCCCCTGAAAGGGGCCCCCCAGAAAGGGTACCCCTATTTTCGGAAACACCCATATTAGGATACTGGACTCACTTTCTGAACGGTTCCGGTTCTTAGTACGGAGCGCAACACCCTGCATAATCCCATAAAGGTTGCTTCACAGGGATGCTTGGTACTTAATGTCCCCACGAAAGGCCCCAAACTTCAGTTCCCTAGTTCCCCATGAAGACTCCTAAATTTTAAGCCCTAAGGCCTAAGGCCTAAACCCTAAACCCTAAACCCTAAACCCTAAACCCTAAACCCTAAACCCTAAACCCTAAACCCTAAACCCTAAACCCTAAACCCTAAACCCTAAACCCTAAACCCAGGTCAAGCATTGTCAGACATGCGGCTGGTGTATGGAGGCGCCATTGTGAGTTTCCGCACGCCGCAATGTCCAAGAGAGCTCAAGACGCCCGAACTAGCGAAAGCAACAGATTTTGGGATGTTCCACCTTGTACTAACAGTCCTCGATAGGGATTATAATAGGGGGTACGACAATCCATCTTGTGGACTGTTAGTATAAGGGGAACATCCCAAGCCATGATTTCATATTCGGTTCCCTACTTTGGTTGAAGGTATCTCGGCAGTTCCTTTTTGGGTCCCCTGTGGACCCTGATGTAGAGAGCTACCCACGTCCCGGTATTTAAGGGGTATTGGGTGCTCTGTTGTGTGGATGGCTTGATCTCGCCGCCGATGGTCTCTTCGGCTTCAGGCATAGAGGCACAGAGAGTGCAAAGCCAACGCAGAATCATGTATACCCAGGGGCTTGTCGAACTGTAAGGGGACTTTACGGCAGTTATTAAGGCGATTCTGTTGTGAGTTTTAAAATCTCCTGTCGTACCATTTCCAGAACAATGCCGCAGCGATCAAGGCTGATAATCCGCTCCCTGCACCAGCAACCTCACCCTAAACCCTCTACTGTTGAAATCGGGTTCGTCCGGTGCGCCCGCAAATGACCATTCTCCTGGAGGCAGCAGGGTTTGATTGGCGTCGGGGCTTCGAGCTTGACTGCAATTTGCAGGGAGCGCAATAGCCCTTGATGAAGAGATCTACCCTGTTCCTGAATTTTTGGGTTTAGGGTTGAGGGGTTCAGGGGTTTGGGGTATGTGCTCTATTCCAACATTATTGGGTTTAGGGTTGAAACCCTAAGCCCTAAGCCCTAAACCCTAAACCCTAAACCCCAAGCCCTAAACCCTAAACCCTAAACCCTCCTCAATTATTAAGGTCTCTGGGCTTTTTGCCGAAGTCCAGGATGCCCCTCTCATCACTGTGAGCGTGGTCACGCTCAGCGGGAAGACGTTGTGTGAGCTGCGGCTCCCATCGTGCATCTGTACAGAGGCGGCTCGGGGAGTTATTCTTAGGGCTTAGGGCTTAGGGTTTAGGGTTTAGGGTTTAGGGTTTAGGGTTTAGGGTTTAGGGTTATTCTTACTCTTGTCCTCATTGTCATAATTATTCGTGTTCGGATTGTTCTCCTGATTCTCACTCGTCTCATTCTTCTTGCAGGACATCTACGACCTGACCTCGGCAGCTTTCGGGCCTTCTGCAAAGTTTGGCTTGTCCTATCAGGCAGGGCCGCTCCGGGTGTGTTTAGGGTTTAGGGTTTAGGTTTAGGGTTTAGGGTTAGGGTTTAGGGTTTAGGGTTTAGGGTTTAGGGTTTAGGGTTTAGGGTTTAGGGTTTAGGGTTTAGGGTTTAGGGTTTAGGGTTTAGGGTTTAGGGTTTAGGGTTTAGGGTTTAGGGTTTAGGGTTTAGGGGTTCATATTCAAGGAAATTCAAGTGCTCTCAGACTCTCAGAGGTCGAGCGCCCAATCCCCCCCTAGTTCATTAAGCAAGAGACCTTCGTTCATATGAGGATCCCTGCTAGAATCTAAGGCAGAATCCATAAGCTCAAGAGGCCTAGTAGTAGAGTAGGGTAGCCTCGGACCTTTTTGGTGTAATATAATCCCCTCGTAATCCCAAAGGTTAACCTTTAATTTTAACGCTACGCGACCCGCCTCGGCCCGGCCCAGCGCATCCGCGTGAGCATGGTGATTCCGCAGCGCCCAAGTCGCTGGACCCCAAGCACTAAGGGTTGGGTTAAGGGTTTAGGGTTTAGGGTTCCGGGTTTATGGTTTATGGTTTAGTTTAGGATTGAGGGCTTAGGGCTCAAGGTTCACGCTTTGGGGTTTAGGGTTTTTTTGGGAGTAAAGACGGTTCGGCTTGGATTGATCGTAGGGTTGAGCCAGGCCCCTCAGGGGCGTAGGGGGAGTGGGGGGGGAAGGGGGACAGGGGAAGGGGGCGAGGGGGGCGGTTGAGTGCTTCGGGGCTTAAGGTTTTTGATGAGGGTTTACCGCAGTGGGGTGGAGGGGGGAGGGGGGGGTGGGGGGGGTGTGGGCGGGTGTGGGGGGGTGTGGGGGGGTGTGGGGGGGTGGGGGCTGCAGGGGGGGGGGGGGGGGGGGGTGGACCCCGGTTTCCTAGGGGGGGTACCCATTTGAGGCAAAAAAAGGGGTCTGACAACCTATACACCACCGGCAGACCTCGGCGGATTCCCCCAGGTTACTGGACAACGAAGTCTGGGGCAGGTTGAGGGGGCTCGACTGGGGAACCCATGCCAGGGGAAGCTATTGGCACGCTCGGATGACCGCCCCTTCCTCGATGTGGGCGATGCAGTGGTCGTCCACTGCACGGTAGGCATGGCTTCTGCACAAGGGCTCCCTCCAGCGGCCCGCAAGTTATCGCCCTAGACCCTAGACCCTAGACCCCAAACCCCAAACCCTAAGCCCTAAACCCTAAACCCTAATCATGTTCAAGGCCGGTTCCAGGCCCCGAGCCGCGCGCAGAATCGCCTGCAGGCTGCTATGCTGACTCTCAGCAGCGCATCTTCGATGAGTACCTCGGTTTCGGTCGATGCCTCAGGCTGCCAACGCGCCACAGCTGATGATGAGAGTGATAGTAGTGGAGATCGGAAGAATGATGCGTTTAGGATGTAGGGTTTAGAGTGTAGCGTTCAGGGTTTAGAATAATAGCGGGAATGCTCAAGGCAGTTATGAGAAGAGTGGTAGTCTTCGATCCAAGGTCTTACAAGCCTTGTTCGACGCGGGCGGCACAACTTTGCCATGCGCCTGTCTCTGCATGCCCCAAACCTCTCACACCAAAAAACCCTAAACCCTAAACAGCAAACCCTAAAGCCCTTCGTACCTTGTGCCCCAATGCACGTGGAAAGCCTCCAATAAGCGACATAGAGAGCCCCCACGGCCCAACACCCCTTGTACTAAGTTTGGGGTCATCCCTTCGGCAGTTACGGCTTGGGAGGACCTGTATGGAGCTTAAGGAATATTCCCGAAGGACACACACCGCAGTCTTGGTAAAACAAGAGCCCTGGTGTTCAAGGCCTCTTTTCCCTTATGAAAGACCTGGGCAAACCCTGAACCCTGAACCCTGAACCCTAAACCCTAAACCCTAAACCCTAAACCTTGTTCTAATAAACCCTAAACCCTAAACCCTGTCTACTGATTAAGGCCCCCATATTCTGCGGGTGGTCCCAGGTATGCCTTGGACGCCTCCCCAGATCCAAAGGACCCGGGTTTCGGGTCGAGGGCTGCCACGGCGGCGGCTGATGTGCAAATGTGTGCGTGTGTAGGGTTTAGGGTTTAGGGTTTAGGGTTTAGGGTTTAGGGTTTAGGGTTTAGGGTTTAGGGTTCGGGTTTAGGGTTGTGTGCGTTTTTGAATGGATGTTGCCCGCCTCCTCGAGGACTTGGTGCTTCAAGCTGAGAACAAGGAGTGCATGCTTTTTGGTGGCCAAGTAGATCTGAACCCTAAACCCAAAAACCTTATATTCTGCGCTCTAAACCCTTAAGCTTTCAAAACCTAATTGGGGATGTTCTCCCTTATGCTAACCGTCCTTTTTAGGGGTTATAGTAGGGGGGTACTTCCTAAAGCCTAAGCCCTAAACGCTAAACCCTAAACACTAAATCTTAACCCTAAACCCTAAACACTGTCACCCCCATTAAGGACTGTCAGTATGAGGGGGAACATCTCAAGGTACGTCTCGGCTGCGAGCTTATGTGAGCTTCCACTCGGTAGGCCCAGAATTAGGGTTTAGGGTTTAGGGTTTATAAAGGGTTTAAGGTTTAGGGTTTAGGGTTTAGGGGTTAGGGTTTAGGGTTTAGGGTTTAGGGTTTAGGACTTATTACAACCCGACAGCCTCTGTGCCCTTAAGCCCTGAGAAGGGTTTATAAGCCCTGACACCGAAGCCCTAAACCCTAAACCCAAAGCCCTAAACCCCAAACTTAAACGCTAAGCCCTAAGCCCTAAGCCCTAAGCCCTAAACCCTAAACCCTAAACCCTAAACCCTGAACCCTGAACCCTGAACCCTAAACCCTAAACCCTAAACCCTAAAACCTAAACCCTAAACCCTAAACCCTAAACTGCGGGTTTCTAGGAGCTACTCAGCTGGGTCGCCTACACCGCGGGCGGGGCTCGGAGTGGTGGCTTGCCGTAACCTTCGAGACGGTCCAGGGCCTTTTCTGTTTTTGTTTAGGGGTTTTGGGGTTTAGGGTTCAGGTGTAGATGGTGTAGGGTTTAGGGTTTAGGGTTTAGGGTTTCGGGCTTAGGGCTTAGGGCTTAGGGTTCAGCATCTCAGTCCAAGCATTCACTAGTCAAGCAACTTGTCAAGTGCTGGAAAAATACCCAACCGTCCAAAGAATCCCACAACGTTAAGTCCACTCAATCCATAAACCCTCGAGGCCCTAAACCCTACAGCCCAAGGCCCCCTAAAACTGACAGCCCACAAAAAAAGCACAATGCCAACGAAAAACGCACGATGCCCACGAAAATACGCATAATGCCCATGAAAAATTGCACAATGCCCACGAAAAACACACAATGCCCACGAAGCGCACAATGCCTACGAATAACGCACAATGCCCACGAAAAAAACACAATGCCCACAACAAAAACGCACAATGCCCACGAAAAAACACGCAACGGCCACGAAAATACGCACAATGCCCACGAAAATATGCACATGCCCACGAAGAGCGCACAATGCCCGCGAGCACAATGCCCACGAAAAGCGCACAATGCGCACGAAAAAACGCACAACGTCCATGAACAACACGCAACGGCTACGACAACAAGGCACAATGCCCACTGACAATTTCACATGCCCACGAATAATTCCCACGAGTAACTTCGAAGAATGCCCACGAAGTTTTGAACAATGCCCGCGGATTTTTCCACAATGCCCGCAAATTTATGAACAATGTCCACGAACGATATTGAACAATGTCCACGAGATTTTGATCAAAAGGCGGTGCTCACGAAGTTGTAAACAATGCCCACGAAATTTTGAACAATGCCTACGAATGAGCTAAGGGTTCAAATATGCGGGTTTTTAGGGGCAGGGGTTTTAGGGGGCTTGGGGGATTTAGGGCTTTTAGGGGTTTTTGGGGGCTTTAGGGGTTTTAGGGGTTTTAGGGGTTTTGCGGGTTTCAGGGCTTTTGGGGCATTTCGGGCGTTTTTGTTGGGCTGTTGTGATTAAGGTTTTGAGGGGTGAGGATTTGAGGGTTCTCCCTAAACCCGACACCCTACACCCTAAACCCTAAACACTTAACCCTCAATCCAGGTCTTTAGGGTTGAGTGTTCACGATGTGAGGTTTCTAGTCAAGGGCTTATAGTCTTGAGGATGAAAGGGTTCAGGGTGCTGTTGTTTCTCTTAGCCAGCACCGCTCTATTCTGTGTCCTACGCCCTGAACCCCTGGGCCCTGAGCCCCTAAGCCCTCAACCCTCAACCCTCAACCCTCAACCCTCAACCCTCAACCCTCAACCCTCAACCCTCAACCCTCAACCCTCAACCCTAAACCCTAAACCGTAAACCAACACCCCCACCCCAGACTGTTCAGCAACGCCTTAACCCCAAGGCCTCGAACCTGCAACATGCAGAGCAAGCCCGGAAAACGCAACAGAAGCCAACTTTTGGGGGTGTACGGTGTACGATAATAAGGGACTCAAAAATCTAGACCCCCAAATAGTAGGATCCCCGTACAATAAGGACCCCAACAAGTAAACTTTACACCCTACACCCTACACCCTAAACCCCAAACCCTAAACCCTAAACCCTGAACCCTGAACCCTAAACCCTATAAACCCTAATATTGCAAACTCAAATCACAAGGAGGCACTCCCACCGGCAGGGCCGAGCCCGGGGCGCTTTCGTTTCTGTGGCGCCCTGGCCGACAGCGCTGGCTCGGTGTTTTGGGCTGTAGGTTTAGGGTTCATTAGGGTTTAGGGTTTAGGGTTCATTAGGGTTTAGGGTTCATTAGGGTTTAGGGTTCAAAAGGGTTTAGGGTTCAGGGTTTAGGGTTTAGGGTTCACGGTCTAGGGTTTAGGGCGGGTTTACCGTTTAGGGCGCAGGGCAGTTGGGGGGAGTGGGTGGGTTGAGCCTAACAAGAAAGTTAGCCACTCATCGCTACGGTCAACCCTACGGCTTATGTGCTTAGGGTATAGACTTCAGGGTTCAGGGTCCCTAAGGTCTAGGGTTTCTAGAATTCTGGGTGTGGGGGTTCCTGACACCTCTGAAGCCCCACCCTGAAACTAAGACGGGCACGAGATCTCTCCAGCCCTTTTGTAAGGGATGTTGTGGATCGTGTACTATAGGGGCCGGAAATTAATCGTATTCCCTGGTGGTCCCTTTACAAGTATAATATATATATATGTATATATTATAATACTCGCCAAGACCCTTTTCTACTTATTCCGACCCCTCTTTTTAGGACTTAGGGTCTCAACATCTTCCAACCCTCAGCCTCAAGAGAAGTGGCTTCGTTGCTCTCTCCATCTATCTTCTGCTTGAGGGTCGAACAAAAAGAGAGGGCCATCCAGAACGGCTTCCTCAAAGCAGGAAGACGGGTTGTTCCGAATTTTGGCCCAAGAAGTTCCTATCTGTCGTAGCCATGGGGTCTTGCTCAGCTCGAGCTCATGACGATGTCGCGGACGACGTCTGTGGCTCCAGCCACGAGCTTCATGCCCCGATGTGGGTGGCGAAAGTTCAGGATGTGCTGGAGATGACCGGTCGCTTCCGACCGCACCAGAATTTGAAAGATGAAGGCCTCGTAGTTCCGTGGAGCCCCACGATGTTCACGATCTTTGTCTCGCACCAGTGGCTGAGCCTCCAACACCCGGATCCGGACGGAGTTCAGCTGCAGGTGCTGCAGAGCATTCTGCGCAAGCTCATCGCGAAGCAGCTCAAAATCGAGAATGACGCTGTCATGCAATACAATGGCCGTAGGATGACAGGGTCGGAGCTTGCGCGAGTACAAGGCGCGTACATTTGGTTAGATTACTTCTGTGTCCCCCAGAACGTGGAAGGTCATGCCGCACCTGGCCTGATGGAGGAGCAACTGCTTTATGTTCATAGTATTCCCAGATACGTGGACCACTGCAATGTGTTTGTGGCTTTAGTGCCCAAGGCGATGCACTCCAACACAGGCACTCAATGTAGCTTCCATAGTTGGCTGGCAAGAGGATGGTGCCGTACTGAATGTTGGTGCTATTTCCTTTCCGCAGGATCGAAGATTCCAATTGTTGTTGTGAAAAGTCATGATGTTGCCCAGTTCAAAGCGCCTTTCTGGCACCAACACCCAGTGTATTCCGGAGACTTCGCCATTGAGAAGGACCGAGCCTCCTGTTGCCAGGTTCTCCAGGTGGCTTTGGAGCAGCATCTGTTGCTTGGTAGTAGAGTAGGTAACCTTTAATAACCTTTTTGGGGTATTACATTCCCCTTGTAATCCCAAAGGTCAACCTTTACTTACCCCAGGATACTGGACAGCTAAGGTTGAAGCTGCGTAAAACCCTCCCTCGGAGCATCAAGGCCTACCGCTTGTATCTGGCACTTTTTGAAGACATGGTTGGCTTGCCTACAAGGCATCGCAGTGTTGAAGCCTTCCTTGAGGAGTTCTCATTCTCCAAGCTGACCCAAAAAGGTTTCGGCCCCGTGGCCTGCGCTGCTCTTACTGGTGATCCTGAGCTCGTTCGCGGACTTGTCCTTGCCAAGGCGCCGCTCCATACGCGTACGGTGGCGACGCAGGAGATGCTGTACCAGGGTGATGCCACGCCTTTGCACTTGGCTGTATGGTTCAAAAGTCACGACCTGCAGATGCTGCAGATGCTCTTAGAGTTACGAGCGAATCCAAATGCAACCACCATCAAAAGTGTGCCGCCGCTAAACTTCTGTCGCAGTGCCGCTGCAGTGGAGCTGTTAGTCCAATACGGCGCAGGGGTGAACTTCCAGGGAAGCGATGTGTCATGCATGTGCCCACTCCTCGGTGCGGCAGCTGTAGCAGCTCCATTTGAGGTGCATCAAAAACTGCTGGACCTCCGGGCAGATGTGAGCGGTGGCAGGGGGGGCATTGGAGATTTGTCACCGTTGTGTGCCCTGGCATTCTCTGGCGACTCACCCGCAAATCTCGAGTCCGCGCTCTTACTCCTTGACCGAAGGGCGGACATCAACCATGTCTGTCGGCCCCAAGGCATCTTTAAGGTCTTCGAGCTTCTGACAAGAGCCTGCTGCTGGTTTCGGTGTGAGCCCTACGAGCTTGCAATGGTGTTCAGCAACATCACCTCTACTCCCTTGGGCTGCTGCTCCATGCTCGACAACGAAGGCCTCTTGACCTTGCTGCTCTCAGCAAGTGCAGACCCCGAAATCAAGAACAGCAGGGGCTACCGACCCATTGACCTCGCGAGGTCTGACAGGATCCGTGACATTTTTCAGGACTGCAGGCCCTATGTCTTGGATCTGGAGCAGTCCTTCGGCTTGGTCAGCGAGCCTCTCTAAGCTGGGGTTGAGTACTAGGCTTTAACGCCTAAACTTAGGGTTTAGCGTTTAGGGTTTAGAAATGTAGGGTTTAGGGATTTAGGGGAATTAGGAGGTTAAGGTTTCAGGTTTTAGGGTTTAGGGATTAGGGTGTAGGGGTTCGGGGAATTAAGGGATTAAGGTTTCAGGTTTTAGGGTTTTGCTCGGGATCGATGCGCTTCGTTCGGCAGAGCCGCGCATCTGTCCGTCGCAGAGCGATGGTTCGTTCGCTGCACCTTTGCGGCCGCCTGCTTGGAGGACCATGGGACTTAGTAAGTAGGGTTACGGTTCTAAGTTACCCTAGTTGGGGTTGTAAGTACTTGTAGCTCTAGTTGCCCGAGTTTCCTCCAAGTGTCCTTTCCCAACATCCCAGGCCCCGAGGGCCGAGGTTCGATACCTGCAAGCCTTTCCATGAGGCAAAATGAGGCAAAGAGAGGGTTTAGGGTTTAGGGTTCAGTGCCCTGCTCGAGTTTGCCGAATGAACCGCTTGCTGAAGCCTGAACCGTGAACCTGAAAGCCTAGTTGTCTGAACCCTGAACTCTGAAGTCATGCAGATGCAAACCCTAAACCCTGGAAGAACCATGTTCACAGGGGTTTCTGACTTAGCAAGTCACCCGAGCTCATTTGCACGATGTTGACCCCGTATTATTTCCAAAGACTTAAGGATCAAGTGCACCTTCTACATTAGGCTTATAGCAGGTATCAATTTGAGATTCTGTTTGATTTCCCTTATTGTTTAAATATACAGCCCTAATTGTAAGGCAATTTCGGGGACGGTTGAAATCGACACCTAGTACATGACCCTAAACCCTAAAACTTGATGGTTACCCTGTTGCCATGCTGCGATGACCTACTGTTTCGGCGAGTTTTGGTCTGACTGGTTGGCTCATGGGACCATCAACATTAGGTGATTTCTTGTTCTGCGGCTACATCGGAACTCCTTGTTATAGGTTTCAACCTGAGCTGATTAGAAGATGAGATGCAAGATGAAATCAAGACTAATCAAGCAGACAAACAGCGACAACCGGCTCGACCGGGAACTCCATGTGTGTGAGTGAGAGTGTGTGAGTGAGAGTGTGTGTGTGTGTGTGTGTTTGTTTGTTTTTGTTTGTTTATGTTTGTTTTGTTGGGGGTGGGGGGGGGGGGGGGGGGGGGAAATGGGGGGTCTAAAAACTTAGGAGGCGTAGTAAATAGGAATTTTAGCTCCGCAGCCCTCGTAATCCTCGACATTTACCTTCGCTGTCTGGGCCTCTTAGATATAGAGCTTCAGGTACAGCCACCTTGGCCCGGGGCCCATACCAGCATGATGGACCAAACCCTAAACCCTAAACCCTAAACCCCCTATGTCGACCCCCCAGGTTGGGATGTTCCCCCTTATGTGAACATATAATCCCCATTAAGGACTGTTAGTATAAGGGGGAACATCCCAACCCTAAACCCTAAACCCTAAACCCAAAACCCTAAACCCTAAACCCTAAACCCTAAACCCTAAACCCTAAACCCTAAACCCTAAACCCTAAACCCTAAGCCCTAAACAACCTAAATCCATCCAAAGAGAGGGCAGAGTGCAGGGTTTCAGGATGAAAGGGCCGAGGGGCCCTGAGAGCGCCCCAAGGTTTAACTTTAACAGTTGAAGGTTCAAGTTTTTTAGGGTGTAGGGCTTTGGGTTTAGGGTTTGGGGTTTGGGTTTGGGGTTTAGGGTTTGGGGTTTGGGGTTTGGGGTTTGGGGTTTAGGGTTTGGGGTTTGGGGTTTGGGGTTTAGGGTTTGGGGTTTAGGGAGTTTCGGGTGTTTGGGTTCAAGAATCTTAGGCGCCTGGTGCGCCTGTGCCCGAAGCAAGTCCGCCGACGCGACCCAGACACAGGCAGGTGGGGGGTGTGAGGGCAGCATAATGGACCAAACCCTAAACCCTAACCCTAAACCCTAAACCCTAAACACTAAAGAGCCTTAAACTACCCCCAAAAGACGAAGCCGCACCAGCCCGGGCTCCTCACATCTTCGCCCGGTCGCCCCGCAAAATTCGGCCCAACATCTAAATCAGGTTTTCTCCCCATATAAGATAGCCAACCCCAAAAAGGGCCCCCATAACATGGTCACTCCTCTACGTCATGGTCCGTTTAGGGTTCCTATGATAGGGCGACCCTAAAACCCTAAACCCTAAACCCTGGACCCTAAACCCTAAACCCGTAATATTTAGGGTACCCGAAAAGGGACCAAGATGTTACTCGGCGACCAAGCATCCGAGAGGAGTTTCTAGGGTTTAGGGTCGGGGTAGAAGCCAGAGTCCGTGTTTAGGTTTAGGGATGCTCAGTAGATCCCTAAACCCTAAACCCTAAACCCTAAACCCTAAACCCTAAACCCTAAACCCTAAACCCTAAGCCCTAAGCCCTAAGCCCTAAGCCCTAAGCCCTAAGCCCCAAGCCCCAAGCCCTAAGCCCTAAAGCCTAAAGCCTAAAGCCTAAACGCAAGGCAAGCTTCCGCTGCACGATGCGGCATGGGGCCACGCGCCCTTTGAGGCGTGTGCCTGGATTTGGGTTTTAGGGTATTGGGGTTTAGAGTTTGGGGTATTGCGGTGTTGGGGTATTGGGGTATTGGCATTGGGGTCTTGGGGTATTGGGGTACTGGGGTGTTGGGGTATTCATTCAGGATTTTCGGGCATTAAGACATTAGGGTGCTAGGCTGCTAGGGTATCAAAATATCAGGGTTTAGGGCTTAGGGTTTAGGGTTTCGGGTTTAGGGACGGGCAGTCATCGCGCCGAGCGAGGCAGCAGTGATGCTGGCTGCGGCGATGCCTGCGGCACTGAAGGACCAGGGTCACAAACCCTAAACCCTAAACCCTAAGCCCTAAGCCCTAAGCCGTAAACCCTAAACCCTAAACCCCAAACCCTAAGCCCTAAACCAGAAACCCTAAACCCTATGCCCTAAACCAGCTTCCGAGAATAGCGGCGAAGCTTTGCTGTCCATTGGGCTTGCACCCCAAATGCCAGAATGTGATCTCGGAACTTGAAGCGCCCCGGGAGGATCGCAGAAATCGCAGTGAGGGGCCAAGCTGTTCTTCGTGACATACTCATCCAAGTCTTGCCCCCCTTCCCGCCCCCCCCCCCCCGCCCCCGCCTTTCCCCCTCCTTTCCCCCCCTCCTTCCCCCTCCCCTCTTCCCCTTTCCCTTTCACCCCCCTCCCCCCCCTTTCCGCCCCCCTCCCCTCCCCCCCACACGGAACAGCGCGAGCCATGTATTATTGTTGTTATCATTATCATGTTTCTTCTTATTATTATCATCATCATTATGGCTATTATGATCATTATTGCTGTTCTTCTTCTTCTTTTTTGTTTATTGTTTGTGTGTTTTTTTTGGGCGAAATTTGCCAAGACCTCGAGTCTCCGCACGACGTGGGGCGCTACGTCCACGCCCGGCGCTTCTCCTGGCCGGACGTGAGCTACATCGAGGCTCCAAGGGAGCGTGCTGCTTTTTGAGGCCCCCACCCCACAAAAGACAAACTGGCTGCCTCTTGAAAGCCCCCGTTGTGCCTTATAGCAGCTAGTAAGCCCTTAGGCCCTAGAAGCCTAAACCCTAAACCCTAAACCCTAAGCCCTAAACCCCAAACCCCAAACCCCAAACCCCAAAACCAAAGCCCAACCAGAACCTGAAGCCCTGACCCGCCGCCTGCAAGACCCGGGCCGCCATGCTGCGGAACGCGGGCCAGCTTGTGTCGCAGCTCGGCGTGCGCTCTTTCCCCTAAACTCGATCAGTGTTAGGGATCCTTTTTACTTTTTGGGTTATGGGCTTTCTTATATATGAACAAAAGGATCCTTTTTTCTTCCTAGGGGAACAGGGATTAAGTAAACGGTTCCTGTACTGCAGCTTTGGGGCCCAAGAGTATACTCCACAGGTGCATGAACCCTTGGGGCTGTTCTTGCTTTTGTCAAGGAGGTTCGACGTGACGCCGGTGGGGTGTCGAGCTTGAGGTTCAGGTGTTAGTGTGTAGGGGCTTGCCGGACACCCGCGAACTGGAGTCTCTTGACAGCGCACCCCAAACCCCAAACCCCAAACCCCAAGCCCCAAGCCCCAAGCCCCAAACCCCAAACCCCTAACCCCAAACCTTAAACCCTAAACCCTAAACCCCAAGCCCCAAACCCCAAATCCCAAAAGCCTGATCCCCTAAGATGGGTTTCAGGGGGTGCTGGGCCCGCTCCGGGCTGCTCCCAGGAGGCTGGCGCAGCTCCGGCGTGCTTGGCGGCGCACGGCGCGCAACCCTGGAAGTAGCATAGGGGTTAAGGTTTAGGGTTTAGGGTTAGGGTTTAGGGTTTAGGGTTTAGGGTTTAGGGTTTAGGGTTTGGGGTTTGGGGTTTGGGGTTTGGGGTTTAGGGTTTAGGGTTTAGGGTCCGGGTATTCCCTGATGGTTCCTTTATAACTATCCTATAAGAACCCCCAAAACCCTAGTCTGACTATGAAGGCCCCTGTAGTAGTCGTTCAGATTTGTTTCCGCGGCCTGCTGAATGCAAAGCTAGGCACAGCTCCACCACATCAAGTGCTTCTGAACTCGCAGCGGTCTCTCTCGCAGATTGTCATCGAATATTTTCCCAAAGTAGGGTACCCCTTTTTTTCCCCAAATAAAATGGAACCCCCTTAAAGGGACCACCCCCCCCCCCCCCCCCTATTTTCGGAAACCCCCATATGTTTCTAGTTGCACGCTATCATCCTTCAGCATGTCTCGTGCCCAGGGCAGCTTGCCGGACCGGCTTCAACAAGGCTAGTTCCGATTCTCATTCGAAGCCGGTGCAGACAACCCTAAACCCTAAACCCTAAACCCTAAACCCTAAACCCTAAACCCTAAACCCTAAACCCTAAACCCTAAACCCTGTTTACCCCCAGAAAACAGGGCTGCACCTGGATCCCAGACATCTTCAACCACCGCGAGGCTTGGGGATCTGCCAGTCTGCAGCTCATCGAGTTGCGTCTTTCCTCACAGACTGCAAGGCACAGGG